CATAAGAGATTACATTTCCCAGTCTTCTCTAAAATTAATTGTCACCTCTGACTTACTTACAACTTGTGAGTTGTCAGAATTTTGCAGTATATACTTTTTTGGAATGCAATTATTTAAAAAGAGAAAAAAAGTGAATTTAGTCTTATCATCATTACTCTTTCTCCCTGTTGCTGCTTGTACCGGCAAAATGACAGCCCAAAAGGAGTAAACACATTATACCATGAACGGAAGCCTCATATGGATGATGCCCCAGAAAAAATGAAAACGAATGTGTCTGAGGTTTGTGGATGTACGTAGCACCTCTGGCTTCCACAGGTGACAGGAATTCATTTTATTTCAAATCATATTCTTTGTTGACTCCCCATGGCAAGCTTTACCCTCTCTCTGGAGTTGATGAGGGATGGGGGGAGAATGGGGGGTCAGCGGGAGGAGGGGATGGAGGGGGGGACTGTGGTCAGTATATAAAATTAAAAAAAAATTAAAAATATAAAAATTACATTCACTAAACATTTGTCTTCCAGTTAAAGCAAAAATAAGTTCAGACAGATAGCATAAAGTGAAATGTAACGTGAAACATTCAGTTTTATCCTAATGCTCAAGTACCTGTTAGCTATCATCTATAATATAAAAAATATTGCTTAAAATTATAAAAAAAAATGAATCTTTTTTGGATCTCATTAAATAATAAGTAAAACTACTTTACATTTTATCCTAACTTTCAGCTTATTACTAGATCCTTCATGGAAAGAAAAACTCCATTGTTTAGGACCTTAATATATTTGTCTATGCTTTAATAACAATCATTCCTTAATTAAAGTCTATATTAGCTAAATGTTTGTATGTAAAACATATTTTCAAAATAACATTGACTCTTTTCACTAGATAGTTAATTATATGACTTGTTGAAGTAATTTATCATTATAAAATGAACTACAGATATGTCCTACAAAGCAGTCAAGCAAAAATTCAACTTTCTAAAACCACTACAAATAGCAATTCATACTAATAGCTTGTATCTGTAAACTGAGCACAAAATTAATTTAGTATCAGAAAATGACTATATTCAGCGAGTTATTCAATTCATAAACCATGTAATTGTCTTGCTTTTGATCTATTCTTTCTTTCAAATAGAGGTAATGAAGATAACTAAAGATGTAATGCAGGGGAAAATGTTATCTGTTGAGTGAATTGCACTTTACATGTAGCTGGCTTGAAAATTAGCAGGTTCTATTTTCCATGATAATAAATTATAATATTTACAGAAAGTAAGTGTAGATAAATTACTAGTCCATTGCTAAATGCCACAGCACAATGAAGTTGTTATTTTTATCCTAGGAAATGCAGTATTTATACTAACAGTATAGTGACATTTTAATGTAGAGTAACTTCACTCTGTTTATAATCTGTTGTCATGTTCATCCAGTGTTTAACACAGTGAAGTTATTGGCATTCTAGATGAAGTTTCAACTCTAAATAACTGAAACAGTGTTGATATGGGAGTCATGTAAACAGTTTTAAAATGTATAATTAAGAACATTAAATATGTTTCTAGCACATGCACATGAAAATTAGAAATAGCATGAAAAGGCAAAGTTGTCTGTGTCAATAAAAACTTCTGTGGATGGTAATTATGAGAGAAAATGAAGAATCTTTCTGAAAATGCGGCCCTAACTTAAAAAATTATACTACTCAGATGACCATCTCAAAAACTTTGATATTAAAAGTAGTTTAATCTTTAAAACAGGTATGGTTATTCAAATAGTTTTCAGCCTAAGACTCCTATTCAAATCAATTTTTAAAAGTTAATCACAAGCATTTGATCATTTAAGATATAAAATAATTAAACCCACTAGAGATTAGATTAAATCATGCTGTATTCACAGGATCTATTACCTACTTATGTGTATTATGTTTTGTTTACATGTGGAAATTTGGTTTTCTGTTGTGAAGATGCATTTGTTTATATAAGCTGTTTTTAATAATGTGTAGCATATGCAGATATATAACTTCATTATCCCATGGATCTTATCAATTTTAATAAAGCTACTGATTTGGATGTTAATATGGATGTAACATGTAATATGAAATTCTGCTCTTGCAACTCCTTCCAGAGATTAATGCACACCCTATCTGCCCCTCTATCTCTGTCTCTCCCTCTCTTTTCCTCCTTCCATCCCTTCCTCTGGTTCACTTTCTTTTATTCCTCCAGTTTCTCCCTCATCACTTGTTTTCTTTCCTAACCCATTCATTCTACGTATCAAATCTCAGATTGTCTCTCTATCCGCAGAATCACGTCCTTAGAGAATCTCTCCTCACCTTCTGAATAGCGATCCTTGATGTCTCTTTCATCTTTCCATCCTTCCATCTTTTGTTGTTCACACACTGCTGCCATCTGCCTTGTTTCTACATCTCAGGACATCTGCTGCCTATCAGAATCTTTGTTTTCGGCTTTGGGTTCTGTTTTTATTTCTAGCTCATTGTGGAAGGAATTATGGAAATCTATTGTATTACACCACTAAAAATATAGACCCACAGTACTCAGTGTTCTGGGCCAGAGGATGGGCAGCATCTCTCTCTCTGTCTTTGCACCACAGATGTTGCATGACTTGGTTTCAGTATTGTTTCTTTCTCAAGTGACTTAATCAGTTAAGCATTTTGATTGAAAAAATCATAGTCTCATTTATGTTTAGAACCTATCATTTCTTTTTTGTAAATACAGAAAACATCTTTAAACAAGCTGTTATACATTCCGTTTTGTTGGAACATGATTTTTACAGGAAGTGATTTTTTCCCTCAAATATTCTAGCCCTTCTCTGCTTTTGTTTGTTTGTTTCTGTTTTATTTTTATATTTTTGTTTAGATTTTGTTTCTGGTTTTCTTTTGTTTTTGGGTGCCTTACCCAGTTTACTTAGTTAATATTTCATGTTTGGTGGTGTGATATTCCAAATTGTTCTTTGAAGGCCCCCAAGATATGGTTTGTTGAACTTCAGATTTTCCCTTGTTCTCATCTGCTGTTGACGAAAATGAGCAGAGGGATTTGTTAATTGAGCCTTGGTTGTTTGATGCTTCTGAAGTCATGTTTTGAAAACCAGTACCAGTGTTGTTTGTTTTAAAAAAATATACAGTTATTAATGGCACTTCATCTTTCAGTCACAAATAACAGAAGTCAGTTGCAGTCCTCTCCCCAGGATGGTGATTAGAGATTGTAATAATACTGTTGTCCCTATAAACTGCATTTTCAAATCAATATTCCACAGTTCATCTCATGCTCTTTCAGTGTTCATCTCAAGAAGGGCAACGAGGAAGAGGAAGATTATACAGTAATCAAACAATATATTCAGGGAATATAACAGGATCCATGTTACTTGAAATTCAAGAATAATACCTTTATACTTTTGTCATTGTTTCATGTATTTTTGGAAAGTTTATATGCTCTAAGTCTTCAAATTTTATTGCAAGAACTTTTTCCGGGATATCTTTATGTATAATAATATAAAAAAATAAATATGAAGGTGGCCATAGTAGAATATAGGTTTAACAACAAATCTCAGGACTGAGACAGAAAGATTATCCAAGGTTGAGGCCAGTTTGAGTTCCATAGTTTTTTTTTCCCTGAGCTAATAGGGATACACAGCCTCAAAAAAAAAAAAAGGCCAAAAAATGAGTGCTTAAATACAAAGTACATGTAAATATATGTATGATTTTTTTCTCTATGAGAAAGTCAATAATGAGCTCCGAAAATGCAGTGTCTTCATCCTTACTTATCACTGGCTTTGTGTACCACTGTGATATAACTAAACAAAGAAAGCCAAAATGGAAAAGATACACCAGCCTCTATTTCAAAAGACACTATATCAAAAGCTTGTATTTAAAAAGACCCTTTAGTTCTGTAAGTATTATTATTATTTTTATGTATGTGGGTGTTTAGCCAGTATGAATTTCTGTGAACCACATGTGTATCCTTCCTGAAGAGACCAGAAGAGGCCATTGTTTGCCCTGGAACTGACATTGTACCAGGCTAGAGTGTTGTGGTTACAGGGTATCCAACAGAGGACTACATGAAAGAGCAGCCAGTGTTCTTAACTGCTGAACCAACTCACTAGTCCCCAAAGGAACAATTTAAGACAAATAATCACAGCAGCTATATTTTAAAGTTTTACTTATTTTTTAGAATTTCATGTATATGTATAATAAAATCTCCCTTAACTGCCCCTGTTTGACACTATAGATGTCCTTTCCTGGAGCTAGCATTATAGGACATTGTCAGCCTCCTGAAGTGAGAGGGATTAAAGAATAGAATGTAATACACAAATCACATTATTTATATTATGTGTGTGTGTGTGTGTGTTTATGTGTGTGTGTGTGTTTATGTGTACTATTAGAAGTGTTGCTAGTCACTGAGACCTGAGCTTCAATTTCAGCCACACTAGTCAAATATTTGTCATATACTTTTTTGTTTTGTTTGAAAAAATACTGTTATTAGTTTGTAAATAAAATAATTTCTTTTAATTTTAGGTTACACAATGAGTACCAGTTTAAGAAAGACCTGTTTAAAAAAATACCTCTCCCACTTCTTTCTGTCTCTCTGTAGGTACACACACACACACACACACACACACACACACACACACACACACACACACACACACACACACTTAAAAAAGAGATCTGCATTTAAATATAAATTAAAGTTATTTTTTGTTTTTCCTTTTTTGTGTGTGTGTGGGGGTTCGAGACAAGGTTGCTCTGTGTAGCCCTGGCTGTCCTGAAACTTGATCTTTAGAGCAGGCTGGCTTTGAACTAACAAAGTTCTGCCTACCTTTGCATCCTGAGTGCTGAGATTAAAGTTATGCCCCACCACCAGCCAGCTAAATTAAATTTTTAAATGTTTGAAAATAGGCTTTTTCTTTTATTTTCCTTAAATTACCAACTTTTGTAAAGTAAAAAAAAAAATATATAGTACTTTTTAAATTGACCAATATGTCCACTAATGGTTTAGAAATTATAGCAAGTAAATAGTTTCTGAAATTTCACTTTGTATTCCTCAGGATATTATGATGTTTTCATTAAAATATTTAAAAAGTTTAGAACTGTTTATTTTCATTTTTGCAACAATTATTGCATTTTACTTAAATGCAGTAAAGTAGAATACTCAAAAATGTTTCTACAAAAATAAAGTAAAAGTGAATTTCTTAGCTTTGGGTGAAAATTGCTGGCTGGGGCTCCGTTTTCTTCAGGATTTGTTTATTCATTGCTTGAGAAGAAACAACATTGGGAACCATTACAAGCATAATTATTTGGCAGAGTATTTAAACTGCCGATAGAAATTATTTGAGAATTCTTTTCTTGAAAATTTGTTTCTTGAAAATTGAAAATACAAATAAAGCCAAATGGCCTACTTCCTATAATATTTTAACTGAACTGTTGATATTGCAAACTTTTAAAATTTAGAGCAGTCTGTTTCCTCTGGCAGAGTTTGCTCCAACGTTAGCAGATGTTAAAATCCCTCAGAGAATAATTTTTCAATTATATTTGTTATTTTACAGACAGTAAAATCAATTAAGTGGAATAATTTGAATCTATTCTCCATGAAACTGTAACTTTGGACCAGATTGTAGTGAATTTTATGAAAATAAAATAAAGATCCCTATTTTTAGGTGACTTTTCCTCAAAAAAAATAGAGATAATATGCTATTAGCAAAATATGTACATTAAAAATTATTGATATACACAATGATGCATTTGAAATGATTATGCAGTTTGGGTTATATCACTGTTATGAAAACATACATGTATGTGAAAACATATATGTGTATGTATTTATATAGAGAGAGACTTTAATCTTAAAATTATAGCTTTTATATTTATTTATAATAAATTATTTATAAGGAATTTGACTTTAAAAATTGATATATATTATATGCACACTATTACTGAGTGAATGTCAGTATTTTGTTTATATTTTCATCCTGTTTTAATATTCAATACTTTTGGCATGTATTTTTATTATATGTTTAAGTTATTTTAAATTTTTCATAAAATTATTTTGATGATATCTTCACTGCCTACCAAGACCTCCCATAACTTCCCATCCTCACTATCCACTCAATCTCCTGATGCTTTTCTCTCTCAATACAAAGACCAAGAAACATAATGAAAAACAAAGAAATCAGAATAATACAAGCAAACTAAAAGAAATAACAATATCAACCAAAACCACAAAAATGCTGATGTTGTGTTTGCCAACTTCTCTTGATCTTGTGGCCTGTACTGGAGCATGGTTGATACACACTCAGTGCCATTCCCTTTGAGAAGGCTGATTTTCCCGCCCCCAGCATTTATCAATTGCAAATATTTTCTTGTTTTATTCAGAAGTAGGACTTTATCCCCACTTTTCGTTCTCTAACCGGTGGTTTTATCTGGTTTAATTTGTGCAATTTCTTGTGAATGCCCTTGCATGTATATTTTAATCACATGAGCTTTGTGCATGTTTTATCCTTTCTATAGAAATTTTGGAATTTCCTCCATGAAAAAAATCCTATTGTCTCAAATCCCAATATCTACAGACTTCTGTTCATCTTCACTGCTGTCCTCGTCCAAATATAAGCTACTATATTCTTTCTCCTAACATTGCTTTAAACATGGATTTTTAAAGCTCTTTTCTGATTATTGAATCCATAATAATACTTCATAACCATCAATCTTCCTGGAAAGATAGTTGAGACCCTCATGAATGCATATATACCAAACATACAAAAAGAACAGGCAGAGGCATGTATATAGTTTACATATAACTATGCTAATGATGATGTTCAAGGAAAATGTTCAAAATTGTTTATATGCAGAGTTAAGATTTTTGCACATATAATAAACCATTTTCTTGACCATATTTACATGCAAACATACACACATAAATCATGTTTTTTTCTTCTATAATCTCTTCTATTAGTGTGAACCATTTTAACTTTTCTCAATTCTTCCCTTTCCCAAGCTGGGATACAAGAACTACCTTCAATATGTCCTGAGCAATAGATCTGTTTCAAAATGTGTAACAAATGCTAATCGGTTCATTTGAAAGAGCTACAAGCATTGTGTTCTCATTAGAAGACAATTTCAGCTTTCCCAAGTGCATACTAATCTCAGGGAGGTCTCTCACTTGTCCTCTGGCATTAAAATAAAAAGTCCTCTTAATGATACCAACTAAGAGGTGTGAATGTCATCTGTACATCTTTGTTCTGTTTCACGTCAATAAGTCCAGGACTCAAAACAAAGTCATGACCTGGTTGAAGATTATATACTATTGTAATATTACATAGAAAAGGCAGATATTTCAATATATCTAAAATATTTTGCAATATTATCAATGAGAATTAACACTATTAGCATGCAATTTAATTAATTACTATGTCTTCCCTGTTCAAGAACACACGTTTTTTTACCCCTCAAATCATCCTTCTCTGATGTCCATAGTAAGTCAATTGTGAGTTTAATGCTGAGATATTAACTTTTCTCAAATCCATTTAAACCGGCAATGTGATACTTGTAACAGTCTTTGATTAATCTTGTAAGTAATGCCACGGACAGCCATTTATTTGTACTTTTCTTCTGACCTCCCATCTAAAAGAGTTGATTCCTTCCTCCTTAATGTTTACATGTGCTCATTCAGCAATAGTTTGTCACCTCTGTTTGGATCAGCTTGTGCCATAGTGCCATTCAAAATCGGTTCTGCTCAATGAGGCAGTAAAGATCCATGGCTGGGGAGTGTACTGAAGTGAGAGCTGAGCTGGAGTATGCAGCATTAGAAGCAGAATCATTCTGTAGGAGGTGTTCCAAACCTTCATTTTCCGTAACAAGTGTATCCTCCTCCTGGGAAGACCCACGATGACTTTGAGCATACAATTAGTGTTCTAGTGATGCTTGAACATGAACAGATACAGCTCAAGTTTTTACAATTAGTTTTAACCAGCTTGCATTAACTAAATTTTGTAACAATGTTGTTAGTAATAATAAAAGGATAGCTTCACAAAAGTATGAACTAAAGTTCGTATACTATTTTAATATTTGTTTACTTATTTTGTGTATATGTGTGTAGGCATGCTGGTGCGTGCTACAGTGCATATGTGGAGATCAGAGGGTAACTGAGGGAAATTAGTTCACGTTTTCTGCCAAGTGGCTTCCCGAATCTGGTGAGCCATCCTGTTAGCATCTATTGAAATGTTTTAAAGAAAATACTGAAAATAAAAAAAAATTACATTAGGGTTCATATTTATTTTATGCAGTATTAAATTCAAAGGTATGATTTGTAGCAAGCATAAAATTAACTGTTACATGCAGTGCTGAATTTCCACTTAGTTCCTCATTCAGCTGAACTATGTAGTTAGTTCTTTAAAGTGGTTTTAAAATTCAGTAGAGCAGAAAATCAACCTTTCAATACTCTTGACTACCTTAGGTTATTGTTCCTCTCCTATATGTGAGCAATTGAAACTTCACAGAATTGTCACTTTTTGTCACCACTAAGGAATGAAGAAAGAATATCGCACCCTACCTACACCCCAAATTCTCAGAGGCTTTTTCATATTCAGGGTTGTTGCTCAAATCCTAAATGGTCTTATAATAAAAACTCAGAGCCAGATATCAGGGTAAATGCTGAAATATCAGAGGAAACAAGTCACATCTACTTCTCACCTTGCCAACTCCTCAGCTGATTCTGTCTCCACAAATCTTTGGGAATACTCCTGAGTCCTCGGCAGAAAGAGCCTTTAGTTCCTGTCACCTTAAGCCTGATATGCCTTTCTCCACCCAACCATTTCACTTCCTATCTCAGTCTTCCTAGTGCTGGGATTAATGGTTTGTGTGCTTCCCACATACTGGGGTTCAAGGCATGTGCTTCCACTGCTTGAATCTGTTTCTCTCCAAGACTGGATCAATCTTGTAGTCCAGGGTGGCCTTGAACTCATGGAGATACGTCTGGATCTCTGCCTCCCCAGTGTTAGGAATAAAGGTGTGTGCCACCACTACCTGACCTCTATGTTTAACTCTGTGGTTGGCTCTGTCCTCTGTTCTCCAGGCAAGTTTTATTTCTTGGATTATAAATATCACCACACAGGGTCTTGCTTGCTTAAAAATAAAATGAACAAATTGAACATAAGCAAATTCTTCAATATCTGTCTAAAAAGCCACTATAATCTTGTCATATCAAGTTACAAATGAAATTTTATACACAATATTTTTTTATTTTTACTTATTTTATTGTTTTGTGAGGGAGGCATTCATACAAGCATGGATGGAGGTCAAAGAATAATCTTGGGGAATCAGTCTTTTGCTTTTTTTGTTTGTTTGTTTTTTCTTTCTAGTATGTAAGGTACTGGGATGGAATTCAGATGTCTAGATTGGTGGCAAGTGCTTACATCCTCTGAGCCATCTCACACTCTCATATTCAACACTCTTTAGCAGAATGCATTAAAGGATGCTGGCAAAGATGGGGAAATCCTGTGATGGCTGGAGTGCAAACACAGTACAGCCACTACGGAAATCAGTGTGGCAACTTCTCAGGAAGCTCGAAATAAATCGTCAAGATCCAGCTATACCACTATGGGGCATACACCCAAAGGATTCTACATCTTACTGCAGAGACATTTATCCAATCATATTCATTGCTCCTCTATTCATGATACACAGAAATTGACAACAAATAGATGACTGTCAATGGATGGATAAATAAAACATGGTAACTTTATATAATGGACGAAGTAATTAAAAATGAAATCATGAAGTTCTCAGGTAAATGAAAATAAACAAACAAGAGAAAAAAGAAAAATCATCATTAATGTGGTAACTCAGACCCCAAAAGACAAATACTGTATTTATACACTTATGTGTGCATGTCTGTGGTTTAGTCTTCTATAAGTAGGCTTTAATCCATGTTACCACAGAGGACAGATGTAGAGTAAGGGACTGAGGGAAGTATTGGATCACGCTAGGAAAGGGGAATAAAATAGGTATGCATGGATGAGAAAGACTGGGCCTGGAGAATCCAATGGGGAGGAAGAAGAAGCAGAGGGGAGAAGGAGGACATATGGGGAGAGACGGCTGAACCTAAGGGCCTTTTGAACTGTCATATGGGCTTAATATGCTACTACAACTTTCTTAAAATATATACATTTATGAAGGTGATTGAAGAAGAATTGCCAAATAATGGGGGAGATTTTGCCACAACTGGACATCTATTTTCCCCCAGATGAAGCTGGTAACTATTTAGAGCTTTCAGCTCTTACTGCCTAGTGTTCATGGTACTAGAATGTACTCTGTACTTACTAAAGAATAAAGATAATATTCATAGTATAAACTCTTTGATCTACTCAATGACTTGCCAGAAAGACGTTCATGGGCAATAATCACACATAGCTTGTGTGATAAAACAACCATTATTTGATTGGATTTAAGGCCCACTCCATGAAATGGAACCCAGCCCTGACACTGCTTAGATGTCCATGAACATGAAGCTAAATAAGCCATGGTCCTTTGTGAAAACCAATTACTACTGGTCTTCTCAGAAACTGTAGAAATAAAAAGATCCCTAAAGGACCTTCTAATTTAACAATAGATCAACATCTCACCCTGCTGTCATCAGAGAAGCTTCCTCCTGGTTGAGAGGAACTAACACAGGGTTCCACAATTAGAAAATATGCAGAGAGTGAGAGATCTTGGGAAACTCAAATAATTGGAATATCAAACCAAACACACACCATTCAACCTACAATTTGTCCTGCCTACAATGTGTGCTGGGGTGAGAGTGCTCAAGCAATGACTGATCTACTTTTCGACATATAGATATATGTCACAAGAAAGAGTCTGCTCCTGACACTGCCTGCAGGGCGAGGACCCAGAAACTGGATAGCCCAGAGACCTAGGATAAAATCAAACAGGACTGACAGAAAAAAAAAACAGTTAATGAAATGATTGCTAATGATATTCTGCTATATTCAGAGATGGGTGTCTAAACCAATTTTCATCAACGAAGCTTCATCCACCAATGGATGGAAATAGATGCAGAGACCCATGGCCAAACATTAGGTGGAGCTTGGGGCATATAGTTGAAGGGGCTGGGGTGAGAATTATGTGAGCCAGAGGGCTCAAGGACACCACAAGAAAATCCACAGAATCAACTAGCCTGAGCTCAGTGGGGCTGACAGAGACTGAACAGACAACCAGTGAGTCTGCACAGGATTGACCTTGGCCCTCTGCATATATGTTATAGTTGTATATCTTGGTCTTGTTGTGGTTCTCCTAACTGTGGGAGTGGTGGCAGTCTCTGATTCTTTTGCCTCCTTTGGGGACCTTTTCTCTCTTACTGGGTTGCCTCATCCAGCCTTATTAGGAGAGAGGTGTCTAGTCTTACTGCAACTCTCTATGCCATGATTGAGTGATATCAATGGGAGGCCTCCCGTTTTCTAAAGAAAAATGGTGGAGGAGTAGATGGGGTGGGGAGGTGCGGGGAGGACTGAGAAGAGAGGAGGGAAGGGAATCTGTCGTCAGGATGTAATATATGAGAGAAGAATAAAACTTTAAAAATATATGAAAAGTTAAAGAAAATTAAATAAAATAAATCTTGAAAGATAAATAATATCTTGGGACTAGGGGTGGCTTAGTGGCTAAGTGCACTTGTCCAAACACTTGTTTTGAAAGTTCACCTCCAGGGTAAAAGTCTGGTGTGGCTGCATGAGTGTCACTACAGTGTTTGGGTGGTAGAAAATGAGAGGATCTCTGGGGCTGCTTGCCAGCCAACCCAGTTGAAATTCATGAGCTCCAGCTTCAGTGAAAGCCCTTCCTTGGCTCAAGGGAATAAACAGTAGAGAGCTTGAGTACCACACTGGATACCTTCTGGCCTCTGCATTCATTCCTACACACAGGTTTTGTGATGTGTATGCACATTGACATTGTACATATACCCATATACACATAGAAATGTATTTTTCTCATACAATTAAACAAAATAAAAGTATTTTAAAAATCAAATGTGAAATTTTCTCATTGCTTATAAATACATTTCATCCATTTCTTCATAAGTGTTGAATCTGAAAATTATTTGTGTACATTTTCTATAATTACATTTATAGAAACATGCATATGTATGTTCATAAGCAAAAGCTCATATATAGCTGTTTATGATGTTACACATACACACACATAATATATATCTATATCTTTACTTCTTAATTAATAATAGATCATATTTCTTAATTATCTTAATATATGAATATGTATAATTTGCATTATATTTTCTATTGCATATGCAGTATTCTATATCTGAAATCATTACACACTCTAATTATTGACCCATATTTTTTAGCATATGATCTGTCCAACTATTACATAGCAATGTACACAATGTTATAGTATATTAAGGAAGAATATTTCTACCGAAGCACATTTGTGCTTACATGTATTTTGTCATTTAATTTTCCATGAAGTAGATTGTAATTTAGATTATCACTTTTATTATGGAAAAATGAAGAAGAAGATTATTTCTTTGCATCCTTTAAAACAATCATGTGTCTTTGACATAAAACTTTCTTGAAAATATTTATATTTATATCCATAGACAAATGCTGCTTAAAAAGCTTGTTGATACAATGAATGTCAGTGAATGAAGAGACTCAGTGTTGCTGCAATTGCCTACAGTGGGTGGATATTGAATGGTCAGGCATGAATGATACTTATACCATCTTCTTTAAGGCTCAGGGGGCATCAAAAGGGCAGAATGTATAAGATGGTTAATAAGGAGAAGTATTACAAAATACTATTTTTAGAGCCATACATAGGCATTGCATTCATAATCTGATAGCAGGTTTGGAGTGCTGCAAATGATCTGTTCATGATCAAGCCTGCCAACAGTCAAACATGGCTTGAAAAAAATCAGAGGACCCTAGCCCTCCATGGTTAACTAATAGATACTGGTGGATCCTTGAGGAAGGTTATTTATTAAGGTCAGGTGTGTACACACTAATGAGCCTCCTATACTAAAACTGGTAATGCTAGAACCACAGTAACAGGGATTAATCCTGGTTAAATTCACTGAGTTACAACACAAAGCAAAAAGGCATGAATTCAAAAGGAAAAAAGAAAAAAAAATCTCATAGGAAAGAGGTGAGATCCATAAGGGTGGAAGAGAGGTAACAACGAGTCGAGAAGTGTGAAGAGTATTGATTCCTGTCTCCTTCTAGTATAGCCAGATCCCCCTCTCTCTCTCCCACTCTCTCTGTGTGTATGTGTTTATGTGTGTAGCTCCTTCTCCATCGCAATGCCATCATATGACTTCATGCATTACAGTTTAAATCTTAACAATATTCACTGCATTAAATATAACCAGAATGTCTTTATATGTGCTAAGAAAAACAACATGGACAAGAAATTACATTTTTAACTTTTCGATTATTTACAAATGTTCCCTCTTACTCTTTCTTTGCTCCTCTTCTCCCTTTAAACATATATATATTAGTAAATAATAAAATAATAAGCAATAATACAAAACTATTGAGTATTTTTGTTATTGTAAGTAATTTTTGCATTCTGGATTAATTAGCAGAAAACAAGTACTTGGGCTAGATCTCTCTATCTCCCTCACTCTCATGCCTGCTCTCTCTCTCTCTCTCTCTCTCTCTCTCTCTCTCTCTTTCTGTCATACTGATGATTGGATCAGTGGCTTCATGCATATTAAGCAGGCTAGCTCCTATTGACCTATATCTCCACTTCCTTTTACATCCTGTGACAGTTTTTTTTAAGTTCAGTTTTAATTCCTGCCACCTGAAACTCACTGTATAGTCCAGAAAGATCTTGAAATCTGTGGTCCCTGTGCCTCAGATTCTCAGGTACCTGTAATTAAAGACTTCCTTGACACCAGATCTTATTGTTTCTAATATGTAACTTTTAACTGTGTGTGGAGGGTGTTGTTGTTTCTTGTGTATATTATATGTATGGTACATGTATGAAACTGTGTACATATGGACACCAGACCATTCAGTGGTCATGGCAATATGTCCAATGTCATCTTCTGTCATCTCTTAACTTGTTGCCTTAAGACAGGGTTTCATCAACCAGTAGTTCACTATTTTGGCTAATCTGGTTGTCCAGAGAGCTCTCTGGCTCACCTGTTTCTATTTCCTTGATACTAAAATTTCGGAGACACTGCTCCTGTGACCAACATAGTATGTAGATGCTGGAGAGTTGAGCTCAGAAGTTCCTGTTTGTAGAAATGCCCTCATGTTCCATGAACATTCTATAAGCCTATTTTTAATGCACGAGAGAGAGAGAGAGAGAGAGAGAGAGAGAGAGAGAGAGAGAGAGAGAGAGAGAGATCTGGCTATAACCCTAAAATTGGGAAATTTTGTTATCTTCAGTACTAAACACAACTCTTGTTGCCATTTTGCTTCTGTATTCATGGAAACAACACTATGATTCATATTTTAATTCTCATACAGTCAAGTGCACTCATTGGATTTTAATAAAGAAAGTTCATTTTAAATTTGTGAGATGAAAGTTTTATAGTGTAGATGAAAATTTTTGTTGCTATAATTGATTTTTTAACGTTTTGTTGAAGAGTACTTCATTATTGTTCATAGATATTTAAAAATATCTTTTGAAAATCTAATTGTTAGTTTTGTTAACATTATTGTACTGCTTGTATAATTATGAAATGTAGAATAGTTCCTCCTTTTATTTCCTGTAAGAATTTACAAAAAATGTAATATGTTCTGTTATAAATATTGTCAAGATATAAATATAAAAGTATAAGCCAGATAAGGTGAATTAATTTATTTCACTTTCTAACTTCAAAGCAAGCAAGGGAAGGGCATTACCCACACTCCTGAGCTGCTAAATCAAAGAGAAGTCCAGCCAATGATGCTAAGTGAGCCTGGCAGTACAAGAAAGACAAAGGAATCAATACCCTTCTAGCAAATTCACACATAGGAAATACTGGCTTTTCCCCCGTGGACTAAGTCTTAATTTTATTTCCAAAGAAGCATCACAAATTGGGTCTCACCAACAAGAACCATCACAACCAAATCAAGCATGAGGCTAGGGAAAAATGTTTGTGTCCAATACTGGCAAGTAACATCTCACGACAGGGAAGAGTAGAACCCAGAAATGCTGTTTGTCCTTTTGGGTCTAAATGTCTTCACCTCCCTGACAATATTAGTGGGCAAAAAGTACAAACAGAGTAAATCATGCCTCAATAAGGAGTCCAGTTCCAAGGGTGGACACTTGTATCTACATTACAGCCCCTGTTGGGAAATTGCCATCCCAAATAGAATTGGAAGTGGTCGGTGGAGCTCTTAATAGAACCAAACAACCATAGGAGACTCACCTGGCCATATAAATGCTCTAAATATAAACTGATCAATGTATCTACAGCTTGCAAATGTAGACTAGAACCTATGAGAGAAACTTAAACAGATCATTTACGTCTGTTAAACTAAGAGGCACATGGCATGAGAAATACATTAAAATGTAATACCCACAAAGCAGTAAAAGCTCACTCATAAAGCTTCAAGAATCAAGTTCAAATTCTTTTGAAACACATAAAAAATTGAAAACACTGTAAACATTACTAGTTAAAAATAGATAAAAACACAAATTATAGAAATATAAAAAGTTCAGTAGAGGAAGTTGAAAAATCTTTGGTAGGACTGTAGATTAATGTGGAGATAACAAACGACTGAATAACTTAACTTCAGACAGATCATTGGAATTTACTCTGTCTTAATAATGGAAAGGACAGAGGTTAAAAGAAAAATCAACTGAGAGTTAAGGATTACTTTGACAATCACTTAAGATTCAATGTTCTCCCCATGGATGTTCAACTGGGAAAATTTATTATGATTCTTGAGCTCAAATGTCATATGACTAATCTCTATAACAAAAAGTAATATCTTGCCCTTCTATGCAGAGACTGACAGCATTTTCGAAGTATAATATACTCATTTGATACCAGA